ATGGGACCTGATTCTAAACCCAAAGTTCATTTATGTTTCATATACACCTGAGGGCAATTTTATATAATGTTTTAATGATTCAGTGCATGAAACAAAATCTCATGGTATAAAATTTTGCACTTCGGGCATCATGTCAGTGTATTCAAAAAGTATTGTGTTTTGGAGCATTTCGGATTTTCAGATTAGAGGCGATCAACCTGTATAAATCTATTTCCCTAGAGAATAGTGTGCAAGCTAATTAACGTGACTGTTATAATGAAATTAATTCTACTTTAAACCCTGCAGGGGTTTAGCTGCCTTCTAGATGGAGCTATAACAGAGCCCCCTTTTCTTCATGTTTTCGTGAGGATCCTACAGGCAAGCGTTTCATTGTTGTTTTTATCTTTTACTTCTTTCGATTCCTCACACAGAATGAGCAAGACATAACAGGTCTTTTGGTAAGATAAACAATAGATGGAAGAGGTGAATAATTTGGCATACCAATTTTTGGTGACGAACTTCAAATCCTGAGTCGTGTCGGAACTCCGCGTCCATCTTCACTTCAGAGATCTCTTCTGTCTTGATATTTGTCAGCCCAGAACCTGTATCATGCCATGATGAAAATAGGCAGGACAATCCATGAGTTTTGACTATAAACAGTAACTTTATGGGAACAAAGGCTACCAAAAACTTCTTTCTAGGATTGAGGTTAGAGGAAAGTAATTAAGGACTTTCTTCAAGGAACATGACTTCCTGTATTTAAATGGTTAATCGCTGCCTATTTTAAACAAAAAGAAATTAAAGATCGGAGAAGTCTGAAACACATGTGATAATTTCAAAAGGATGTGGGGAGAGGACAAAAGATAAATGCTGGTTGGGAGGTTGGCAAGCATTTGTTGCTAGAAAATGTCGGTTTAGGGACTTATTGTCTCGCCTATTATGTGCCTTTTTCTAAGTGCTGTCATTTCTTCAGAAAAAAAAAAAGAGCATTAATTACCTGGTAGAACAGAACTGTTACTTTGAGGCTTTGTTCTAATTACAAATGAATTATGTTCACGT